TCAGCTGTAAAACTCGATGAGCGATGTCAGCTGTCATCAGGTAGAAGCGGTCTCACATGGTGTGGTTGGTCGGCGTACCGAGGCTCCGCCTCAGCGTGGAGTGCAGACAGGAGAAGCACAGAGATGAAGCACAGATATTTCTTTCTTAGAATGAGTCTGACATGATGATAGGTTTCTAGATCTTTGATCTTGAAGCTCCGCTGGCAGGAAGAAGATTCTGCTGACTGGATCCATGGTTCTGTTGAGGAACCTGGAGAAATGCAGTCCTTTCAGGTAAAAGCTAAACCTGAGGCGTCTGGTCCAGAACCAGCTGTTGGGGTTCTGGCCTCCTCAAGAAGCTCATTCTCCACATTTTCTACCGGTGGTCAGAACATCTGTAAATGTTCCAGATGTTTGATCACCGTTCTAGAAACAAATATCTGTAGATCACCCAGTCAGAGCACAGCCTGATGTCTGAGCCAGTCCTGGTACCAGACCGGAACTGTTCCGGAAGGAGCCATGGATGTCAGACACCATGCCGAAGGTCCTGTAGGATCAGGGAGGTCTTCCTTAGATGAAGGTCTGATGTGGAAACAATGGGATGGGTTAACTGGGAATCAGGAATTATTTAGTAGAAACCAGTCTGGAGTTGCTGGGATGTGTGTGAAGCTTTCTGTGTGACGAAGGCAGAGATTCACCATGTGACCTCATCATCCCGCTCTCTGCTGCTTCATGTGTTTATCTGTGTTCAAACACATGAAGGCAGCAGGAAACGCTGCAGAGGAGGGGTGAGTGATGCAGCAGTACCCCGCCTCTGACAGCGCCCTCTTGTGTCAGCCCGCAGCCTGCGCCTCAGCCCATGGGAGAGCCGCATCGTGGAGCGGCTCATGACGCCGACGCTGTCCTTCCTGGCCCGGAGCCGCAGCGCCGCCACGCTCCTGAACAGCGGCGACTCGCGTGAGTAAGACGCTGGTCCCAGGCGGCAGAGGGACAGCAGGTCTGTTTGTCCCCCTGTTGGACCCTGAAACTGTTGGTTTGTTCGTCCCTGATTCCCTGAGTCCATCCAGAGCTGACTTCAGACATGAAACTGAACGATGGAGAGAGAAGCTTTAGAAGGACTCAGCAGGGACTGGTGATGTCTCGCTGCGTGGTCTGTCTCTCCTCTGTTTCTGTCTGTCTGTCCTCTGTCTCTGTCTCTGTCTGTCTCTGTCTCTCTGTCTCTGTGTCTCTCTCCGTCTCTCTGTCTGTCCTCTGTGTCTCTGTTGCTCAGACTGTCCCCGTTCTCCTGTCCAGCCTCCTCCAGTCCCTTCAACAGCCGCTCTCATCAGCACCAGAGCGCCGCAGAGCGATGGAGAGTTTCCTCCGCCAGCACGCCAGACATCACACAGAGGCAGCGTCGGCGCAACTCCACCCCGGTGAGCAGCGCCGCAACTCAGTCTGTGTGGGATCCACGTGAAGTTGGGTGGGCGTGTCACTACCTGATCCGATCCGTCCTGCGCATGCGTGACCTGATATCCATCCGGGTGTCCATAAATAATGTAACGATGGAACTAAAATGACTGATTTTCTATCCTTAACTCACTAGAGAATGATAATACACATCTTTAAAAAAATGTTTTATGACTTCTGCTTCTCTGATGTCATCATGTGACACGCTCAGAGCAGTCCCGCTAAATCTGATTAAACCTTGTTAATCTGCATTTCAGTTGTTTCTTTCTTTAGATTACGCACTATATACCATAATGTTAACATGAAAGGAAAAGATTAAAGTCAAAAAGACTAGATTTATGTTTAAATCCAAAGCTGATAAAGTTAGCTCCTGGGATTAGCGTAGCATCCCATTTCCTGTACAGATCAGGAACAGAGGATAAAACAGAAAAGATTTGAATGTTTTTATTTTCTTAGAAAATATATTATTAACCTTTAACATATGTTTGTTTATTATTTTTGGGGAGGTAAAAAATGTAATTTAGGTCTTTATAACAAAATAAAATCGAGTGCGACCTTGATGAATATCTGGGGGTATAAATGAGGACAGATCGCGCTTCCGGGTCGGATCGGGTAGCAGCACGGCGTTCAGGGATGGCAGAACCAGAGATCCATCAAACAGAACCTTCATGTCCAGTTTCTCCAGAACCATCCTGCCTGAAATCTGCTGGATGGTATACTAGTCTGTCTGTCTGCCTTCTGGGCTCTGATTGGTCAGAAACCAGGAAGTCCTCCAGCAGGAAGGAAGGAAACAGAGACCCACGATTGGATGGAGACTCTGGACATGTGGAGAGGAAACTAAATGGTTAATGGCCTGTATTTATATTGGGCCTTTTCAAGTCAGGAGACGTGACCAAAACGCTTTAATTCAGTTATTCACCCATTCATCCACACACCGATGGTGGTGAGCTACACTGTAGCCACAGCTGCCTTGGGGCTCACTGACAGAAGCCAAGCTGCCGTACGCTGGCGCCACCCTCTGTCCACCATCAGTAGGAAATGCAGGTGAAATGTCTTGCCCAAGGACACGACGACACTGAAAGCCGGAAGGTTGAACCGACAACCCTTGGATTGCAGGGCAGACTCCTACATCGGACACCACTGTCGCCCAGAAGGTTCTGAATATTTGACTGGATCAGAACCATCATTCAAAGCTAAACTGTGATCTTAGTTAAATGATGTCCTGCTTTCAGATGGAGCTGCAGACAGGAGGAGGAACCTAACGTTCACACCTTAATCAGCGATCACTTCCTGGTCCGACGCTAACATCCTGATCTCACCTCCAGGTGGACAAGAAGAAGAAGGAGAAGAAGGACAAGGAGAGAGAGAACGAGAAGGAGAAGAATGCTCTGACAAAGGAGAGAGTGCAGAAAAAGAGACAGATGACATCATCACCAAACGCCACCATCTCCAGATCCAGACTTGAGAGCAGGTACTATAATCGCTCCCATAGCAGCTGGAGGCCGGATCCTTTATCCTGAAGATGAGCCAGAACCTTGTCATGAGGGAGCAGGTTATGAACATAGAAGGTCCTCCTGATTCTCCTCATTGTTCCCCTTGTTCCCCTTGTGGTTCTGCTCATTGTTCTCCTTTCCTCTGCTCCTCAGCGCTCCGAGGCCCAGGAACAGACCTCCTTCGCCTGCCCCTAAGAGCCGGCCGTTGTCTCCTCTGGTTCCGGTACCGACCTCCAAGACGCCCATAGGGAAAAAGACGCCGCCTCCTTCAGCTGTCCCAAAGAACCGACCCAAACGGGCCCAGACCCCCGCCAGAGTGCAGCCCCAAGCTGTCTCTGCAGTTCCCGTGGAAACCAGAGATGGGAAGCAGCAGGCCGATGATTCAGAGGAGAAAAAGTGTAAGTTACCATGGTAACAAAGGTGCAGTTCAGTGTCAGTGTATCCGAGTACCTGAAATCAGAGGGGGAACTGAGATAGCCAACCAGAGAGCAAGTTACTGACCCACAGTCTGACCCAAAGACGGATCCACAGACAGTCCAAAAGACGGACCCACAGACGGACCCACAGACGGACCAACAGACGGACCCACAAACGGACCCACAGACGGACCCACAGATGGACCCACAGACGGACCAACAGACGGACCCACAAACGGACCCACAGACGGACCCACAGATGGACCCACAGACGGACCAACAGACGGACCCACAGACGGACCCACAGACGGACCCACAGACGGATCCACAGACGGACCCACAGTCTGACCCACAGACGGACCCA